CACCGGGCAAGTGTGTGTGTGTGTGTGTGTGTGTGTGTGTGTACCCGAAGTCCTGAGAGGAGAATGGAGGAGGAGAGGGGATTGTGACATGGCCATCCCCCTCACCCGGGGGGGTGATTTCTCACTGTCTGTCTCTCTCTGTCTCTCTCTCTAGCAAGTACACATACCCTATAGCAAAAATCTCTAAAAATATATAAATAAATAAGACAAAACAAGAAAATACTGTTAGAGAAAAATTGGAACATATTTTGGTTTTCTGGGAACACTTTTGTATTCTACATGTCATTGTTTCTCATAAGGTATTTTCCTGCATGTTTCCAGGTCACCAGATCCTTAAAGTACATCAGATAAAGGGGACTGTACTCATTGGAGTCAATTTTGTAGGCTATTCAGAGAAGAAAAGCCCAAAGGTGAGTGGAAATTTTGATATAAACAATATAAATTAAATAATTAAATGTAAAGTTTGGGGCTGTTAGGTGACATGGTGGTTACAGTGCTGGATCCCACATGATGGGCTCCACAGTTTGTCTCTCAGATTTGGCAGCTTGAAAAACACCCCGGGAGTGTGTGCGTGTGTGTATATGTGTGTGTGTCCAAAATCCCTAGAGGAGAATGGAGGAAAAGGGATTTGGGATTGGCCATCCCCCCAGGGAGGCAATTTCTCACTTTCCTATTCTCTCTGTCTCTCTCCAGCGAGAGCACATGCCCTGTGGCAAAAGTCTAAAATAAATAAATAAATAAATAAATACATAAATAAATAAATAGATAGATAGATAAATAAATTTAAGGTTCTTTAAAAATTGTTTGCAACAGATGTAAATCTGAAAACTGCGCACTTCTGTGACTGTTATTTTTGGCACTTGAGAGAATACTGTGATCTTCTCTTATTGAGCTGAGAAATTAGAAGTTTATCTTCACTTTTGCGGTTCTTATTACATTTCTAGGAAATTGCCAACTTGCCCAGATCTGCAGCTGTGGAGCTGCTCCTGGTGAATGATGTAACCATACTGCCTGAGAATGCCACCATCTATAACCACCCTGATGTGAAGGTGTGTGGGTATACGTTGCATGTCTGGTCCAGTGAAATCATATTGAAGGGGAGTTTATTAAGACTAACAGTAGGGGCCAGCAGTTGGTGTAGTGGTTAAGAAAGCTGGACTCCCACATGACCAACTACAGTTTGAGTCCTGGGCCAGGCGACTTGCTTTCTCACTTTCCCTCTCTCTCACTCTGTCCCTCTCTGGTCAAATTAAAAATAAATAAATAAATAAAGTTAAATAAAATAATTCTTTAAAAAAAGATGAACAGTACAGGGGCGAGTAGGTGGTGTGGTGGTTAAGGTGCTGAACTCTCACATGGCCAACTATGGTTTGAGTCCCAGATCGGGTGGCTTGCTTTCTCATTCTTCTTTTCTCTATCTCATCAAATTGAAGAATAACAATAAATTAATAAAATTAAACAATTTTTTTAAAACAAAGTATAGGGGCCAGCAGTGGCATGGTGGTTGGGGTGCCGTATTCCTTCATGGCCAACTGCCGTTCTAATCCCAGACCTGGCAGCTTGTTTTCTCACTTTCCCTTTCTCTCTCTCTGGTCAAATTAAAAAATAAATAATAGTAACGAATTTTTAAAAATAAAATAAAAGATTAACAGTATAGAGACCAGCAGGTGGTGTGGTGGTTGAGGCACTGGATTCCCACATGGCCTACCATGGTTCAAATCCTGGATATGGCAGCTTGAAGGTCAATGTCAGGCACATTTGCATGCATGCCCAGAATCCCAAGAGGACAGTGAAGGACAGAGGATTGAGGCATAGCCATCCCCTCTGGGGGGTGATTTCTCACTTTCCTTCTCACTGTCTCACTCTCTCTCCAGCAAGCACATGGGCCCTATGGCATAAACCTTAAAAAATAAAAATAAAATAAAATAAAAAGATTAGTATATAATGATAAAAATAAACTCACATATATGTTAAAAATCATTTATGGGGACCAGCAGATATTGTAGTGGTTATGTCCCTGGACTCCCATGTAGTCTACCGAGTCCCAGAGCCAATGGCTTAAAACTCACACCAGACGCATATACGTGCGTGCCCAAAATCCTGAGAGGAGAATGAAGGAGAAAGAATACAGTGTGGCCATCCCCCTGGGGGTGATTTCTCACTTTCTGTCTCTCTGTTTGGTGAGCACAACATACCCTATAGCAAAAATCTCTCAAAAAAAATTTTTTTTAATCACTTGTATGTATATATAATTAGCTGCAATATACTTTGGAATTATACTTTAATAATCATGTTTGTCTTCTGTTCTTGACCTTAATCTTCTAGTCTCATACTCTTTCTCAGGTAGATGGAAGTTATTTTCTTTGAATTATTTATCAACTGAAGGGAATAGAATATTGTTTGTCTGATTTTTCCATAGGAAATATTTAGCCTTGTGGAAGGATCTGGTTATTTTTTAGTCAACAGCAGTGAGCAAGATATTGTCACCATCACTTATATAGAAGCAGAAAGCTCTGTCCAGGTAAGTTGCAGAGATATTTTCGGATTGCCAATTTTAAGCCAAAGCTCATTCTTAGAAGACTGAAAAATTCTATTGTGTGTCTAAAACTTTTAAAGAAGTAACATTTGACTCTCTTTCTTTAAACTAAGTTTCTTCAGCTAAAACTGAGGATCTTGTTTTTTTTCCTTAAAAATAGTTGTTGGGCAGTTTTTACTTCTGGTTGAATGTAGATAGTATAGAAAATACATAATTAGATTTTTCACTGGGCCAGCAGGTGGAGTGGAGGTTAAGATGATGGATCCCCTTGGGGCCAGCAGCTGGCATGGTGATTGAGGCACTGGGCTCCCACATGGCTGACCACAGTTCAAGTTTTGGGCCTGGCAGCTTGCTTTCTCACTCTCCCTTTCTCTCTGTCTCTCTCTGATCAAAATTTAAGTATAATAATAATAAATAAAATTTAAAATAAATAAATCTTTTTTTAAAAAAACACAGGATCCCACATGGCAGACGTGGTTCGAGTCCTGGACCTGCTAGCTTAAAATTCATGCAAAGTGCATGTGCATGCTTGCCCAAACTCCCAATGAGACTGGAAGACAAAGGATTGTACCGTGGCCATCCCTGGGGGCTGATTTCTTTTTCTCTTTCTGTCTGTCTCTGGTGAGCACAGGCTCCTATAGCAAAAACTAAAAATAAATAAATATTTTCATTAAAAGAAGGTTCCTTTTTATGAGTTTCAAAAATATAACTTAGTAGATATTTACATATACTATTAACTTTATAACCTTAGGATATGTGTTGTTATTTATTTTTCATTTTAAAAAAATTTTAGAGAGATTTTTTTAGTATATGTGCTGCCGAAGCGAGCACAGAGAGATTTTTGCCTGCCGAAGCGAGCACAGAGAAATTTTTGCTATAGGGCACATGCATTCTCTGGAGAAACAGCAATAAACCACACACACACACACACTCGCCCTGGGGGATGGCCATGCCACAATCCCTTCTCCTCCATTTTCCTCTTGGGAGTTTGAGCATGCATGCACATGTGCCCAGCATGAGTTTTAAGCTTTTGGGTCCAGGACTTGAACTTCAGTGGGAGTTCAAGTGGTCAGCCATGTAGGAGTCCAGCAACATAACCATTATCTGCTGGTCTCAGGATATGGTGTTTTTATAATAGCCAGGATATGACAATTCAATATGTTAAACCCACTCCATTGACAGTATGCCAAAGAATCTGCTTGTAGTTAATTTATACTATGATACCTTATATTAACATATGTATGTTTTCTTCTAAGAACTCAAAGGAATTTAACTTACCTTAGTTATAATACTTATTTTAAAAAGGGGAGATGAGGGTCCAGCAGGTGGTGTGGTGGTTAAAGGTGCTGGACTCCCACATGGCTGACCATGGTTTGAGACCAGAACCTGGCGGCTTGCTTTCTCACTTTCCCTCTCTCTCTCTCATTCTGTCCCTCTTTGATCAAATTTAAATAAATAACTGAATAAAGTGACATAAAGTAACTCTTTAAAAATACAAACATAAAAATAAATAAAAATGGGAGATGAGATGGTCTCATAGCCTAGTGGTCAAGAGTTCTGGATCCGGGAACCAGCAGTTAGCGTAATGGCTATGTCGCTGGACTCCCACGTAGTTGACCACGGTTCGCGTCCCAGACCCGGTGGCTTAGAACTCACGCAGGGCGCGTGTGCGTGTGAGCCCAAGATCCCGAGAGGAGAATGAAGGAGAAGGAATTGTGGCATGACCATGCCCCCTGGGGGGTGATTTCTCGCTTTCTGTCTCTATGTCTCTCTCTGTCTGGCGAGCAGTGAAAACCTCTCCAAAAAAAATAAAGAGTGCTGGATCCCACATGGCCAATGCACAGTTTGAATCCCACCCCTGGCATCTTGAAAAACACTGGGCACATGTGTGTATGTGCCCCAAATCCCAACAGGATGGAGAAAGGGGAAGGAATTGTGGTGTGACCACATCCCATTGGGGGGGGTGTTTCTCCCTCTCTTTCTTTTGCTTTCTAGCAAACCCACACTCTTGCTAACAATTAAATGAGAGAGAGAGAGAAGACTGGGTCACTCTGTGGTGACAGAGGATGTGACAACCATGCTGTTGTGTGGGAACCACAGAAGAAAGAAGGAAAAACAAAACTATCAGTTGACTCAATGTTTTCTCCCCCCCAACTGGTGATTGTAGCATATGTGGATACAATTTTTTTCATGAAATCCTTTCCTTGTTCATAATGAAGAAACTGAATATATATGTTGGGTTCTGCTTGAATTAAAACAACTGAAATTCTGCTTGCTTTTTGTCAGTTACTATTTGTTAAGGTACAGGGCTAGCAGGTGGCATGGTAGTTAAGGTACTGCACTCTCACAGTGGTTCAAGTAACAGACCTGGCAGCTAATCATGCTGGGCATGTGTGAGAAAGGATTATGGCATGGCCATCCCCTGCAGAGGGGTGATTTCTCATTTTCTCTCTCACTGTTTCTGTCTCCCAGCAAGCACACATACCCCATGGCAAAAACCTTAAAAGAAAATTTTGGAGACCAGCAGATGGCATAATAGTTATGTTGCTTGACTGGCACATAGTTGACCGTGGTTCAAGTCACAGACCTGGCAGCTTAAAACTCACGCCAGGCACATGTGGATGCATGTCCAAGATCCCAAGAGGAAAATGGAGGAGATTGGATTGTGGCGTGGCCATCCCCCCTGGGAGTTGATTTCTTACTTTCTGTCTCTCTGTCTCTCTCTGCTATCTCTCTGGCAAGCACATGTGTCCCATAGCAAAAATGTCTCTAAAAAAAACAAAAACAAAAATTCTTAAGGTACATATTTTGCTGTGAACTGAAACATCATGTTAAGAGTACATTTTGTGCTGTGCCCGAAACATGCAACATGACCTCTGAGGATTCCCATCTCAAAGGAAGGAAGATACTGTACTTTCCATTTGGGGTAAAGGTTGTTGCTATGATTGTGCTTGGGCAATGTTTGCTTCCTTACCCAGCTATGATCTTCTTCTTTCTAGTTAGTTCCAGTACATCCTGGGTTTCTCACCTTGGAGGTCTATGATCTGTGCTTGGCTTTCCTGGGTCCAGCAACGGCCCACCTCAGGGTTTCCGACATACAAGAGCTGGAGCTTGATCTGATTGATAAGGTGAGGATGTTTGCTTTAACTCCAAAATAAAGCAAGCCTCATTCTTACTCCCCAGCATCATATAATCTTTGCCTTGCCTTGCTACTGTGTGTGTGTGTGTGTGTGTGTGTGTGTGTGTGAGTGTGAGTGTGTGTGCGCGTGCGTGCATGCCAGGACTCCAGGTCATGTTAATGAAACACCTGCCCTTAAAGAACAACATTCTAACATTAAACATGATGGAGAACAACTTCAAATAGAGCACATAGATAGGAATATTTGATTAAAGGCTGACTGGGAACATTTAGCACGAACGAAGTATGTGCCGCCTCCTAAGACTTAGATAGCCCTTGGAGAATGAGACCCCTTTACTAAAATCTACCTTTGATTTTTAACTACTAGGTTGAAATAAGCAAAACCGTGTTAGTGACTATAAGGGTTCTTGGCTCTTCCAAACGCCCTTTTCGAAATAAATATTTCAGAAACATGGAACTTAAACTGCAGCTGGCTTCCGCCATTGTCACCCTGACGTGAGTCCTATTTCCTTACCTTTGTGCTTAACGTCATGAGAAGCTCTCTCTTGGTAACCCAGTGAGCTTTCCCTCTGGCGTTTTCAGCTTTTCTCTTTTCCTTTCTTGTTACCTTTCAGCCCTTAAAAACTTTCCCTAGTCAGCTTACAGAATACCTCTTCCAGGTCTCAGACGTCCTATCTAGAGGCTAAAATCGTGTGTGTGATTAATATTTTCATTTTCTGTAGTTTCTCCTTGGATGATATCTTTTGGGAGTGCTTCAGGCTAGAAGCCTTTATTTTATTTTTGTTTTTTGGAGAGGTTTTTGCTATAGGGTGCATGCATTTGCCAGAAAGACAGAGAGAGACAGAGAGGCAGAAAGCAAGAAATCAGCCCCCAGGGGGGATGGCCATGCCGCAATCCCTTCCTCTCCATTCTCCTCTCAGGATCTTGGGCACACACACACACGCGTCCGGCGTGAGTTTAAGCCACCGGGTCAGGGACTTGAACCACAGTCTACATGGGAGTCCAGGGACATAGCCATTATGCCATCTGCTGGTCTCACTAGAGGCCTTTTTTTTTTTTTGGAGAGGTTTTTGCTATAGGGCACGTGCACTCGCCAGACAGACAGAGAGAGACAGAGAGACAGAAAGCAAGAAATC